AACAAGAAAAATTAACACATACCCCCGCAACAGCAAACATGCAGACTAAGCGAATTTCAACTTGTCTGATTACATTATTACTAAAATATTAAAATGAATAAGACATATTTATTCCAAATTTAAATAACATTAGATTTAGCGAGTGCTTAGGTTTGCTGCCACGGGGAAGATAAAAAGTATTTTTTGACCATTCGTCAATAGTATGGTATTAAATAAATAAATTTGCCAAATTTTATCAATATACAGGGTGTCTCAGACCACCCGGCCGACTTGTATAGCTCCAATATGAAAGCAAATGGAAACCAAATTGCAACTGGAACCCCCTATTTTGACCCCAAGGAATTCAGCTAAATTATTTTCAACCCCAAAAAAGCACCCCAAAGGGCAGATTTTGGGGGGTTGGGGTGGTTTTTGGGAAATTTTCAAATGTAAAGGGGGGTCGTGTTATACCTCTTTTTAAAGGTCCTTTAGTCCTGAGTATTTTAGTGGAAAAAGATTTAAATTATCTTCATTCATATTTACAGGGTGTTCAAAAACGTACAAAAAATAGACCTTTGAACTACTTTTCACTGTAAAGAGGTGGAATTTCGTGGGGGGTTCAAATTTTTAAAACACTTTAATTGCTAAATGAGCTTTCAAAAAACTCTAGTTTCAACCCTTTTGCTATCTTTTTACTTATGTTACGCATTTTCAAACTTTTTGAAGTTTCAAAAGCTGTTATCTCAAAAATTTCAAATGGCAACATGGGTTTCATTACAAACCACATTGTAGCCCTTAAAATTTGCTATAATTTTTGTATTTAATGTTTTTTGGTATCTTCATTGGTTAAAGAGATATAGCGAAATTAGTGTATTTTAATGTTTTATTAAATGGTATTCAAAGTGTATGCTGTTGTAAATGTACACCTCTAGGTCTCAATTAAAACTAATTTTGTCTAAAAAATAAAATAGTACTCAGATTGTTGATCTTGGAAGATTGATAAAGGAAAGAACACAACTGCAAATATTCTAAGTTATTTTACAATTCCATGGCTCTAATAGTACTTTGAATGAATGATTTATTTGAACCAGCATTAATAGCCTACATACAGATGGACTTCTACAAATGCTTAAATTGCCTTCCATTTTGATCCATGCAAACCCCAACTCTGTTTATATGCACGTAGTAATTCTTCTCCACTATTATGGTACTGTATTGATATTTTACTACCGCAGGTGCATTCACCTCTCGTACAGGTCCAGTAAGCTCCTTATAATTTGTTTTATCTGATCAAACGTGACCAGTTTCACGCACACGCTCATTGATTTCATGATGATTTTTTTTATTTACCAATAGCATTTATAGACAGTATTCATTCAAAGCACTATTAGAACTTTGTAATTGTAAAATAACTAAGAATATTTGCAGTTGTGTTCTTTCCTTTATTAATCCTCCAAGTTTAACAATCTGGGTAATGTATTTTAATTTTTTTACATAAGTAGTTTCAATTGAGACCTAGACGTGTACATTTACAACAGCATACACTTTGAATACCATTTAATAAAACATTAAAATACACTAATTTCGCTATATCTCTTTAACCAATGAAGATACCAAAAAACATTAAATACAAAAATTATAGCAAATTTTAAGGGCTACAATGTGGTTTGTAATGAAACCCATGTTGCCATTTGAAATTTTTGAGATAACAGCTTTTGAAACTTCAAAAAGTTTGAAAATGCGTAACATAAGTAAAAAGATAGCAAAAGGGTTGAAACCAGAGTTTTTTGAAAGCTCATTTAGCAATTAAAGTGTTTTAAAAATTTGAACCCCCCACGAAATTCCACCTCTTTACAGTGAAAAGTAGTTCAAAGGTATATTTTTTGTACGTTTTTGAACACCCTGTAAATATGAATGAAGATAATTTAAATCTTTTTCCACTAAAATACTCAGGACTAAAGGACCTTTAAAAAGAGGTATAACACGACCCCCCTTTACATTTGAAAATTTCCCAAAAACCACCCCAACCCCCCAAAATCTGCCCTTTGGGGTGCTTTTTTGTTGTTGAAAATAATTTAGCTGAATTCCTTGGGGTCAAAATAGGGGGTTCCAGTTGCAATTAGGTTTCCATTTGCTTTCATATTGGAGCTATACAAGCCGGCCGGGTGGTCTGAGACACCCTGTATATCCATAAACAAGTAAACTACAACCAACAGTTTTCATTTTCTCCATAATAGAAAAAATATTAAGGTTGTTCCGATTGTAAATTTCAAAATGGCGGCCGTTTGAATTTTTCTAACTAAAATAACCCAAAAACGGCTAATTCTATGAAAAATTGTCAAGAATACTTTATTTTTGCATTTTCTATCAAATTATATCAATATCAAAAAGATCGGACAAAATATAACTGAAATATAACGTTTTTTGTGTAAAAATAAGGCAAAAATTAAGGGTTCTCCGACTAACTTTGCCTTATGTTTACACAAAAAAACGTTATATTTCAGTTATCTTATGTCCGATCTCTTTTATATTGGTATCATTTCATAGGAAATTAAAAATGCCAAACAAGTATACTCGACATATTTTCATGGAATTAAACGTTTTTGAGTTATTTAAGTTAGAAAAATTCAAACGGCCGCCATTTTGAAATTTACAAACAGAACAAATTTATTATTTTTTTATTATAGGTCTTGTGCATATTTACATATTCACCAAATGCCATAATCATCGAATAAAAAACTTCACAGATAAAAATATTGTTGTATAAAAACTAAATGGCGGATATCTGGGTTAATATGCATTTCCGGATATACCTTCCCATAAACTTTTTTCTTCCTTTTAGTATGGGGATTCATTTTCTAAAGTTATGAAACGTTTTTAATGGACACCCTGTATACATATATGTGCGTGTGTGTGTGTGTGTGTGTCCGTTAGCATGATAACTCGAGCAAAAATGCTCCGATTTTGATGAAATTTTGTATAAGCGTGTAAACCTACATTTATTCGAACGAGTTCGCGAATCAGCATGATCGGACTACGGGAACGGGGGTTTACGGTTTACGGGGGGAATAGGGTGTTCCCATATTTGACCCAATAAACGTAAAATTTAGCAATTTCTTTCCAAACCATTTTGTAGAGCTTAAAAAAACAAATAATTTAGTATATTGAAGCGTTATGCGCCTCGTGGTTACGGAGAAAATTAAAAAAAAATGTAAATTTAAAATTCCTATGTTATTTTTATGAAGAACAAGTAAACTGCTGTAGTTTGTTTGTTTATAAACATATTTTGATCAAATTTGGAAAATGTTTTTATTTCTCACTAACTATTAACATAAAAAAAAAACAGTTTTACCCTCCCTGATGCAGCAAACTTAAGTACTTGTTAAACTAATTCTATTTAAATAGAAAATACATGTTATATTGTTAAGTAGACATTTTAGTGTAAATCCAATCAGGTAAATGGAAATTCGCTTAGGCTGCAGGATTCCGGCGGGGGCATTGTTATTTGTCATAGTCATACTACAGATGATGTGAATGTTTATTTATTATCAGCTGTCTTTTTTGTTGTTCACATTTTTTTCATAAGACTATCAACATAAGTCTACCGAATAAAGCGCAATCCTGATGGAAGTGTTGACAAATATCGGGCGAGATTGGTCATCAAAGGATGTGCGCAAAGACCCGGAATTGATTCTGCTGAAACCTTCGACATGGTTGCTCGTCTGGAGGTCGATCGAGAAATATTGTCACAGCTGTTGGGAAGATGGTTCTTCGGCAGTTTGACGTCTCAACTGTGTTCCTGTTTGGAGACGTAGAAGAAGAGATTTTTATGAAGCAACCTGAAGGATATTCAGATGGGACAAATCGTGTTTGTCGTCTGCGTAGTCTCAAACGCAGCTTATACGGCCTGAAACAGGCACCTCGATAATGTAATAAACTGTTTGATGACTTCATGAAAGGCTTAGGATTTCAACAGAGAAACACTCCTCAAAACAATAAAGATTTCCCGATTTCTGATTTATCCTACTAATATTATAAATGAGAAAGTTTGGATGTATGGATGTATGGATGTATGGATGTATGTTTGTGACAAGTGAACGCGAAAAATACTGGTCGGATTGGGCTGAAATTTGGCATGATGATAGCTCACATTCCCGATTAACATATAGGCATATTCTTATTTCAAAAATCCTTTCGGGCTACGCCCCAGTGGCTCTGGAGTTTCCCATGTTAACCTTATGAGAAATGGAATTATTGAATCTTAACAGCTGTTTCAATTAAACAATTTGGTTCTGTTCTATGATGTTCAATAGCATTAAAGTTACAAGGATTACCAACAGGGTGCAGCACTATTATTTCTTTTACATTTATGACAACAGCTAATTTGCAACCAAAAGGTGAGTGAGCGTAGCGAACGAACTTCAACCAGGACGTGATTGAGCCATGCGAACGAGATAATCTTGAAAATTAAGAAGTTAAACGGGGCAAAGCCCGCGGGTTACAGCTAGTTGATAATAATTAATAATACACAAGTGTTAAAAATGTAGAACAGTCACTTTTATTTTGTTTGGATTCAACGTGTTTTGCCGGGGATGAATAATTAATTTGTTTTAATGAGTTAATTATTATTTGATTAAATTAAAATTTACCAATAATATTTAACTTTACTAAGTTTAGCGTAGAGAAATCGGTATGATCATCGAGTGTCAGAATAATATTATACATCAATGATTAGAACAAAATACCTACGGGTTAATGGCAGGAATTTGAAAGGTCCTTTAACTAATAAAATAAATTAAATATGAGAAAGGATTAGAAAATCACGAATTACTCAAAAACTTCTCTTGTACCCTAAACAAACATTTAACCAAGAGTCGTATAACGCAAAAATACTGAAATCGTTACAAAGTCTGATCTGAATTAAATACCTCACAAATTTGTTGGAAAGACTTAGTCGCTTCTGTTGCGTGTACCATTGGTAAAATTGGTGCAATTAAATGGGTAGAATGCTATTGACATACATTAGTATGGCTTCACAGTAGATATCATACAACATGAATGTCTGTTATGCTTTCATCTTCGTTTCTTTTGTAAGTACTTATCATTATGTCAGCTTAAATTAATTGTTGGTTGGATAGTAAGTTTTTTTATCAATAATTCTATTATAAATTCGTCCATACTACTGGTAGTAATTATTGCATAGTCTTAGTTATTAAATAATCTCTATTAAAAAAATATATTTACGTTTGTTTTGTGATTTTAAAACAATGTAAATATATTTGATAATAGTAGCTTTGTTGCATTTTCTTATTTAACGTGTTTGTTCACTCTGATGGTATCTATTTTAGTTCTTTAGCTAAAATAAATCGTAGGTCAAGACTTAGATGATCCAGCATTAGGCTTCTTCTCCATTATAATTTACAATATTAATTTGAAGACATTTATTTGGATTCTGTTTTGCCTCTGGTAGCAGGCCTTCACACAATTGATTTGATTGATTGATTTGAATAATGGTATTACCACATGGTAATGAACCATGTTCATTCATTTATTTGTCCCTGACGATGTCCCATCATGCTATTTTGCAGATGCTATTCTGTTCATATCTTCCTGTGGTAGAAACAGGAGGAATTCTGGAGTTGTTGGGTGGTTGGAGTGGTCTCAAATTGCATGAGTTAGGTAAGGATAAACAACATAATTTATTTACAGAAAAAATATAGTAATAATTTTAATACTATAATAGTAATCCTTATAATTTCAGTACAGCTATCTCTCTACAGTCTAATGTACGAATTTGGCATAACAATTGTTTATAACAAACAGATCTGTGTGCTGAAATAACTAGAGGTCATATATATTACACATAGTAGCTTGCTTAAAATTTGGTCCCCAACATCCCTTTAGTTCGTGTATTTTCAAATTGGAAATAGCAAATAGATTTAGTTCAATTTTGTGAATTTTGACCGATAACTACTTGTAAATAAACCTTTGACGATACCAATCAACTCAACTCAACATGATGGCGACTCTGTGATGTGTCCACTTAATTGGTTAAATCGAACCCTTGGAGCAATATCCAACCAAGTTCAGGTCGAGGAAATATTTTATTGTAACATTTATTACTAAAATCAAACCATTAAAAGCTAGGTTCAAGCTCATTTTTTGAAATCGGGAGTTAACGTTACTTAAGAGAACAATAAGTAACGTGATGGTTTATACGTTATATTGTTTATAGTTGTAGTAGTCCTTTGGGTATTATATTTTGAATATTTTATTTTTGAGGCTTTGCTAATACAAAGCATTTTGTAATTTTGAAAGAACTTATGACTTATAAATACGGATATTTTCTGTTACGAGTAGTAAAAATCGAGGTTTCTTTCGGGACCTGGAATGTAATCCCGTTCTCAGGCAAGAATGTACTTATAACAGTACATGAACACAGATGAAGTTGGAAAAACCCAATTTAAAATCCTGGGCTTGGTTTGTGTCCTACGTGGTTTTTTCCTCACATTGAAACGAGATCAGATTTCAGATATACCGAAACTTCGTGAAATCTTATTTTGACAACACGCGTTGGATTTTCTCATAATGATATGTTTATTTACGAAAATCTCATAAGCAAGACTCGCGTATAGTAATAATAAAATATAATAATATGTAGTAATTTAAACCCAATTTATTAAGGTATTTCACATGATACTTGTCGTGCGTGTAATTTAAATACGAACAGAGGGAGTAGATAGGGTAGAAGCTGTCTAAAAGTGAGTAGCATTAATAACATTTGTATAAAGAATTAAATTTACATGTTTTAAGTACAGTATGTTTCTTGGTTATAATGAGAGATAGTCTATTATCTCCGTAAATATAATTTGAAACACAAAAAGAATAATATGTTTAGTAACGTATATTTTAAACGAAACTTAAGAATTTGCAAATAACATTGCTTTAAATATGCACATAGTAATATTTGGTTTGGTATTTGGATTCATCTATGTTTATGTTGACAGGAATTGCCAAGCACAAGGAGCATGATGGAGGTAAGAGACGGCTTTAACAAATCTATTATAATAAACCTCTAACAGAATGTAACAATTTCATATTGATGCTATTACCATATAGGGGATGTGCCTACCTAGTACCTTAATAAGTAACGGACAACCCTTGTCAATCTATGGAGATTTTCTTCTCGAATATAGATGGATAAAATTACAGTAATGCCAGAACATTGTTTTATCATGAAGTTTTTGGCCCATAGTTCTGATGGCGAATCTCCGTTCTAGAACAGGCTGACAACTACTTTACAAATTTGTATACTGTATACCTGTTTTGGTAACTAGCTGAAACTGTTCTATGGTTTTGTCAACTATTTTCGTCGTATAAAATAAATTCCTTAAACAAAAAAATTACATTGTTTTGTAAAATAGTTCACAAATTTTACATTGATCTGTGGGAGATCAAATCCACATAAGGAATACTGCCAGTTCCCTATAAAATGTATCGTGAAAAATAATTAGAGGTGTAGTAAGAATTGTTAAAAAATAATTTAATAATTTTGTAAATATTTAACCTGTATAAGTATTTTATTTTATTTTTCATATGCCAGCAAACCAAGTGTTCGTCGGAGCCGCTTTTGCCGTGGTGATCGAGCAAAAGAGCAAGGATATTGGCCAGTGTAAGGAAAAAATAACTATTACATCAACGGCTAAGAGACAAGAAAAGAAACTATCCACTAAATGTGCACCTTACGGGAAGATTAGAAAAGTAAAAAAAGGAAATGATGATGCAGTGGTCGTGGGGACTCTTGACAGCGGATTTTGTGCTTTCCTACCAAATGGGGTCAAGGGGGAAGAATTTTACTACCTTATGGATGGGAAATGGAAACAAGGAATATTTGGTGTAGCCAGCTCCGACGACAAAGACCTAACAGAGACTGAGATCAATGAAGCAGGACTAGTTGAGAAAATTGAGAGTGTTCTCAAACATAAAACAGAAATCAAATTAAATTAAAGTGTTCCAAGCTTCCAGGAAAACAGTACTTCTTATTTTTATCCAATTTGGTTATGCATAACCTACATAAACAGTGCTTCGTTTCTATAATACTACAGTGAACCATAATTATTAGTAACATTTATTATTTTAGGAATTGGTAAGATAGAATATTCATTCACTAAAATTTTTGAGGAAACGACTACACGACCTACGAAACCTCTCTGTCTATATTCAATACAAGTAGAAAATTACACTTCAAGCATTTTTAGCTTGACGTTTTAATTGGCTATGAAAAAACATGACCGTCCAATTACAAGTTGGTTTTGTTCAAAACACTATCTCGTGTTTCACTCAATGACTAAGTGTTCAAACAGTAAACTTGTATAACTAGTTTTAGAAATATCACTATCTAGACAATCTATGGTTGAAAATAAATATTAAATCTAATAGCTTTCTATCAATCATTCATACCCTTGTTTTACAAACTCAAATTTGGAAAATAATTTTTTTTTTAAGGGAAGAAGAGTTAAAAAACCTCTAGTACTTAAGATAGGTCCTTGGCTCGCCCTCCCTTATTTTACTATGAGAAGTGAAACAGCAAGAAAATTGTTGATTTACTCCGTTTAATGTTTTCTCTAAGCATCTAACAGCTTCTGAGATACCAATGGTTGCATAGTTAAGTTTTCACTCTGTATATGTATATACTGTATACATATATACATATACAGTATATATTTACATATATTTAGTAGACCTATCCATCTAGGCCTATCTACTTATGTATATATACATATACCAGCTGTTGACAGTCTTTTTAGCTGAATTTATTAATATGCTGTGACCAATTGTTTATCCTATAGAATTAAACCCAAAGAGTTAAGTTCCAGTCATAAAATCTATCCTCACATGAGGAACAACTATAAGCCCACTGAATTTGTGACTTCAATATGGAACTCTCTTTGGAACAACCTACATAAAGTTTTAACCAAAAATACTGTTGATGTTTTATTTCCTTTCACTCATAATTAATTATACCTTAAACCAAATTTGTCAATCTCATAACCTAGTTAAACAGTATTAGATAGTCTATCTTAAAGTAGAATAAAGTAACACAACAACCTTTATTTTGTGACATGATGTTCTCTGTTACTGTCTCGGCATGCACCTGATTTGATATTATTGTTGGTTTCTGCTGTCCCCTATTTTTAATATTTCTTTGGCTACCGATACTGCATATTTAATTCTCCATCTCTTTCTTTGTTTAAGAAGCATGTAGTAGCGTGGCTTGTAGGATTGAGCTCAGAGGACACCGAGGCTGTTATCGCGTTGGGCTGACCTGACCGTTGACCCTACACTACAACACACAATCACTGATACAAGGACTAACTAATACACTACCCACCACTCACCTCCATTCGACCTATTTACTTGATCACTTGATTTTTAAGAGAAATCATGATTCTTTTTAGTTCAGGAAAATATCGTAGTCCAGTTCCAAGCAAGATAAAAAGTTCACCCAGCAAGACGTGCTATAACAATTACACTCGATTACATTTCCCACTATACAATTTACCCGCAACTCATGTCTACGCACAGGCCCCTGCCTATGTAGACATTTTCCTTTTAATTTGATAAGGTATTTTTATTTTTTCTCTTTGTGCCATTTAGTTATACAGTATTATACTTTTGTAATTATTATATTTTTTTACGTTAAAGGATTGTATAATTATTATGTAAATACCACGAAGTGTATTATGCCAGTTGGTAAATAAAATGTTATTTCATTTCATTTCGTTATTTCATTTCATTCATTTCATTTCATTTCACATTTAATAATTTTTACCTGAGATTATGCAGGCAGTTCTGGGAATTTAATAGCTGGTTAGCTAAAAGTAGTAGATGGTTAATTGCTGTGGCATATTATTATTAGTTTTTGAAGAGACTGTAGGAAAAGGATGCAACACATCATTGCGAAGATAATAGTTATTTATGTAACTGGTGGGAGAAGAGGCATTTGTGCACAATGAGCTGTTCCAGCTGCGATGCAATCCCATGGCAGGGCTACTACAGAAATGCAACGTAGTAGCCCTGATCCCATGGTCAATTGTAAGCCTGGCCTTCTGTGAAAAAGTGGCACTTTGCTGCACACGAGAGAAATCTTCACGTAGGCGAGTTACTGTTACTATAAAGCATATCAATAATTAGTATTTCAAACACTGCAAAACTCGTTTTTAGGTCAGGGTAGATCCAAATATTGAACGAAATGGGAAAAGCTGCACCAGCTGATCGTATAGTCGTAATATCTTTAAGTGTTGCCACGAATACTAGAAAAATACCGGTATTGATCATAAATATAAACAAATGACGTTTTTGGCCCAAATCCTATACTAATAGCATTAACATATGGTTTAGACAGTTCCATTTAAAAAATGTTAAATAATGTTTACTTTCGGGCCAAGAACGTCATTTGTTTAAGATTATGATCCATACCGGGTCTTTTCTAGTATTCGTGAGTGTTGTCAAGTTATTTTCAAGCGTACACGTATTACGTGCCCAATAAAAACACGCTGTTTTTTGTTGTTTGGATGGAATACTGGAGTGCAGCAAAAATAGTGCGGCAAAAGAACTAATTAATTAAGTAATTAGCAACTTCCTGTGCTATAATCAGTGCATGGAATGCCACTTTGTCAGGTGACTGTAGGAAAATGTATTATTAGTTTGTTTATAAAATGAGTAAAAATGTAAAAATCTGGCCAGCTTTTATGATTTTATCTTGGCTAAATTCTGCTGGGAATTGGCATAGACAAAAAGAATTAAATATAGACTGTCAGCCGTGCTGCGGTTACCATGGTTACCATAGGTTCTGGCGAACACCGCTGGGAGCGCCGTGTAGTTACGGCTGACAGTCTATATATTTAATTATTCTTATCTATGGAATTGGACACAAATACTTGAACGTATCTGTGGAAATGGCTGAGTGCAAAGGTGTAATTTATTCCTGTATTAACTTTTAACGAAAACTATACCCGTTTTACAAAAAATGTTACAACATATTGGCTAATGGTAACAGCTAACTGAATAATGATTTAGAATAGAAGATTTCCAATGTTTATTTTGAGGATACGGTTTTTATACAGTACACGTATTTCGGAAGAAATAGCATGAGCAATAACTCCTAAAACGTACTAAAGTGCGTACTTTAAGCACTTGTACAATATGTTTCGACTTAAAACTGATTTTATTGAAAACCGTTTGAGATAGAAGAGCACTTGAAATACAACAGTTGTAGATAATAATTTAAATCGACACTAAAGATTTTCCATCAGATTTAAGATCCAAGCATTCATTCAGCATATACAGACCCAAATACATTCTTGCCTAGTCAAATTTAACCGGAAATAGCTTTTACCCTTCTAAAACCCCCTTAAATTTAGAGTTTTGCAAAACCTCGTCTTATTGCGCATCTTCACCATACAGGGACTCCCCAAGTAAAATTTTGATCATTGTAAGTAGTATGTTTTTAGATATAGTGATCATCTGTCATCTGAGTTTTGTTTGCCTTCTATACAGAAAAAAGATACAGGCTATTTCATAATTCTCAACCGGCCTTTAAAGGTATTATTTCTGGGCTCATAACAAATTTAAATATGCCATTTAAATCGTCTGTTCGTCAATGGTTACTCACAGAGCCGCCACGTTTGATTTCAAACATAGGTCTTTTCTCAGTAACCATGATACTTAGAACTTTGTAATTTTGCATGAAACTTAATACCGTACCAGTGAAACTAACTTTTGGAAAGAAATATCAGTTTTATCAATGAATAAATTGAAAATGGCTACCTAAGTTCTAATTTGGTATGGAGGTGGGGTTATATGGTGTAAACATTTGGTTTCCCCCATTAGTAGGTAGCCTAGAGAAGTCAAAAACTGTCAGAAACATTAAGCTGGTTTGGATTTCTTAACGGTTTAGAAATTGCTAAGCATTTTCGTTTCAAAGAGGTATTTGTCTTCGAAACATGCTATGAACACTATCGCATGGATGGTATTCACAACAGGCAATTAGCATTCAATAACTGCTGTCAGAGTTATTGTGCAATGTGTGTTAGTCCACACATGCTGCTATATGTGCTATATGTGTGCCGTACATTTGGCCTTTACTGCCCTAATAACGTGCATACACGAATTTCTGGTATCTGTAAATGTAGGACTAATGTTATTTCAGTAACAAAATAACCTCCTAAATCATTTATCTCACGGTAAAATATGAGGTTAAGGACTCTTTTTCAGGACTTTTGGAAAATAATTTTTCGATAAAACAGCAAATTGTCCTTCCATTGAAAGACTTGTCGCTGGCATTACTTTTTGTCTGATTCCATAAAATAAAGTAAAGCTAGTTAATCAAATAAAATAAATAAAATAAAATTACTTAAGCCAGTTTTCGATGAGTAGATATAATATACCGGTTTTACCCTACTTTAGGCATTTTAGAGGCTATTCGGGGGCAATTTTTCTACGAGAAAAATGGAGGAGCTTTTTTGGCCACTTTTTTAAAGACCCTGCTCTCGACCTATACACCCCTTTATAATTTTTTTACTTTTTTAATACTAAAAAACACGCCTGGAACATGGTGAGCTTTTTTTGGCCACTTTTTTTAAAGACCCGGCTCTCGGCCTATACAAGTCTATACAAATGTTCAATACTATTGTACAACTCCATAAACATTTAAAATCCACATTTATTCCCATGTATATTTTCAAAATCACCGACTTAACAGTGCGAGGTTTGCACAAGATCTTGGGCGTGCTCCCGGCCGCGGGCATGCTTCTGATCCTCAGCGATGACAAACTAAAAGTCTTATGAAATAATGTTTGAAACAAAAATTGAAGAACATCCAATCATCTATATTTTTCTACTGAAAGTTTTTCTCTGGCCGAAATATAAAAAAATCCTCGATTACTTACTTTCATGTTTACTCAGAGTAACCTTTTTGTATTTTCCTTAATTAATAATTACACACTGGCACAAATTAAATTATATTTATGTTGTATTAAACAGTAGTTCATCTAGAATTTTAATATATAAATTTCATGCTGTATATATTTTTTATTAGAAGCTAGACAAATGAAGTGTAAGTGATAGGAGGCGCATCACTTTGAACATCGTCACGCCCCCGACAGTGCCGTGCTGGCAACACCTATAGTTTGAAACCATTGCTATTGCTGAAATTATATTATACAGTAACACATTTACATACAAAAGAAACTGGTAAATGGTTTTAAAATTTTAAACTTTTTAAAACTGTATTATTATGTTGAAACCCATGTAGTAGGCTGGAATTTTAGCCGTTTTGATGTATATCAAGCCTTTTTGAGATATAAGAACTTTTAAACAATAAAGCAGACCTTTATTTACTAACGCTGATATTATATTACAATACATTGGTATACAAATGAAAACGGTTTGATTTATTTGTACTCATATAAAATAATATAATTCTTTTGAGTTATTGGAACCTCTGGTGATTAAAATCACAAACACATTTTCATGATAACTGTTTGATTTATTTGTACACATTTAAAATAATGTTAAAATAGTATTTGATTTTTTTATGTTGTAGCCTATTATTGTTTTTGATCAAAAGTTGAAACCAATGTAGTGTGCCTAAATGTTTTTTTACTGTTTTGCTGTATCTCAAGCCAATAGATAGAATATGCCAAGGAGGTGTTTTTGTTGTTTTATCTAGTGTCATCTAGGAGGAGTTTGCGTATTACGAAATGCATAAGGGTAGACGTATAAGAGCTTCGCTCGCTCCACTCAAACAGCATTGTCTTCAGTAAAAAATTGCAAAACAAAAATATAAATATTTTCTCTGACTCTCAATCAGCTATTCCAGCAATTGAAAACTATAAACACTCAAAAAAAGTGATGATATTATTTACAAAATTTTCTCCAAAGCCCAGGAAAGCCCAATACACTATGTACTCCACTGGGTACCTAGTCACATAGGCATAAACAATAATGAGATGGCTGATCACTTGGCTAAACAGGCAGCTAATGATGGGGAATCTGTTACGGATGTACACGTTCCTTTCAATGATTTCAAATCGCACAGGAAGAAAAGACATAGAGATGTTTACAGCAACACAATTTTGTTCTCTGCCAAAGACCATGGTTCTTTGAATCCAAATTACAGCGAAAAGAAATAATTAACATCTGAAAACTCAGACTAGGTCATGCTAACTACAGCACACATTTACGCTCTAAGAACTTGTATTTGATATATTGTGTGCTCCAAAAAAAAAAACTTACAATAAAAATTAAAACAACAGAAACTTTCACATTAATGTAAACTTTGTAACTAATATAACCTAGGCCTAACCTTTGTTATAGAAAGTGTCAAATGCCCAAAGACAACCACAGAAGGATTCAGTGAGTAATAGTCAACATTAGAAATCGAATAGGGTGAGTGGAGCAATTATCTAAGCCTTGTGCCTTAAGAGCTCAGAATAAGAAAAAAAATTAAAAAAGAAAAAAGTGTTATAGCTACTGGACAGTCCATAAGACTAATGTAAAAAATATTAAAATTTCATTTTAAGTTTTTCACGAAAAACAAATTTTTCCAAAACAGAGCCTAGCACGGATGTTGTTTTTGGCCTAAAACTAAGATATTTTTAACAATTTGTGGGAAATCATAGAATCCACTTTTAAAATCATTGTGCGCAAAAGTTACTCATACAGATATAATATAAAATATCCCTATTGCTCTTGCTACTAGAGAAGTTAATATGTTATACAGATAATGTTTGAAAGAAATAATTAATTCTTAGTAGCATTCATAACATGCATTCTGTATTATATTTTTTAAGGCAAAATGTAAATATTCGAAAATCACTCCAAGGAAATTATGTGAAATGGGAAAGAAAAAATCGACACATTACCTTAAATCACTTATTTTAAGACTGTAATTATGAAATTACCACCCTTGGCTGATATTTATTTTTATCTGTTTTAAAACTCGTTCATTTTCTTTTTCTTGCAGAAGGTCCAATTTGCTTATTTCTTCATCCATTTTACTTTCTTCTTCTTCCATCTGCTTTTCGTAAGAGTTGTTGGATTCGTCAAATCTTTTGTCTTCTTCGTCTATCATTTTGTCCAAATCGTCAATGTTTTTGTTGTATTTAGTTTCTTCAGCAGTTATGAGTTGATCTGCAGCCTCTGACGTGAGCTTTCCCAATCTTCTTTGGTTATAAATGTTTCTCATCTCTCCATAGTGTCTTTGTCGTTCCTGATATATTAGTTGCCTTATTTTATTTCGGTTTTGTATACTGGTAACTCTTTCCTGTGTTAGTAAATATCTAAGTCTATTTCTTTCGTTAAAGAATTTTTCTCTGAGGACATTCTTCAAACTTATTATCTTCTCGATTTCTTTGTCAGACTCCTCAAAGAACGATAGCCACTTTTTTATCCTTTCTTTCAATTCATCCACCTCAGTTGAAGTCAGTTCTTTGTCGTTAGCATTATCGTTGCCGTATTCACCTTTCTTCCATTTTCCATCCAGCAGGTATATTAATTCGTTATTATTAGTTGAGAACGCACAAAAGCTTTCTTCAGGTCCTTCCACTAATAGGAAATCCCCGATGTTCTTTATCGTCTTCATTGAGCCAGGTTTAGAACATTTTCCACTGAGTGACTTCTCTTTCTTATCTGTCAGAGAAATTGTTATTGTTTCTTTACACTCTCCTGTTTTCCTTTTTTGTTGCTCAATCAACACGTTGTACACTTGCCCATTAATCATTTGTTTCATTGACCCTAGAAATCCAAAGAAATGTTAGTAAAAAAATACTTACAAAATAATAATCATTATTTTTTCATTTGTAACCTACTAATGATTTTTATTTTAATGCTAAAAGAAATCTTCACGAAAACTCCATGTTTTATGACTCAAATCAGTAAACTGAGGGTGTAAGTACAGTATAGCTAAAACATATTAAGCAAACTAACAAAATAGAAGATGCTTTAAGCTTACTTCAATGTGCTTCAAGATGCTTCAAGTATGCGTCAAGCTTACTTTGATACTTGCAATTTTTACAAAAATATAAAACATAAATTTTGCGAGTATTTTTAATTTATCGAAGTTAAAATGTCTAATATCAAACACTTTAAATGATTATATCTTATGTTCGTATTTAATTATGTGGGCAAGAAAGAGTGCCTTTGAATATTTCTTTAACAAAATTACTTTATGATCAGATTGTTAGAAGGTCCCATGACTATTTAGTATTCGTTTGTTTTATGTAATTAAATCACAGCAACCACTTAAAGAGGATTTAAATTATAGCTACCAACTAAAGAGAGTGCGTTTTAACGATAAAAAATCTTATCGATCACCCTAAAATTTAGAAGGAACATTAAATCCTCTTTTTTAACTACCATAATATAATGGATTATTTAAAAGAATAATTTAAAGAAGAAGAAACTTGGGAGGTAATTTTAATAAATGGTATAGAAATAGGCAATTTTGTATTTGCTTGATACGATGGTCGAAATCTTTAGATTATTATAAGGTCATTAATACTATTACTTCACTTAGTCATTTGAACAGGGTTCACTTTTTCAGCTTTAAAATGGTTTCTAATAAACACCATTAGCTGTTATTGAGTGGTAGACAAACTTTCACACCTACCAAACCTGTCATTCATAAGATTCTATGAATTTAAAAAAGTTGTACTTTAAATAACACCTTAGATTAACAGCCTTAATAAACAGACTACAATCACACGACAAATTAAAACAACAACAATTAATTAATGTATTCAAAAGAACGAATATATTACCTGACAACAGTTCTCCATTACTGATCACTAGGTTGCTGAAACTGTTTCCCCCATAGTTGCCTAAACCCGTATAAACAACATACATACAATTTATGATAAGTAAGTTATGTATTAACAAACAAGCAATAACTGTGATTTTTAGTTGTATCTTATCTTACCATTATGGTATCATACTAATAAAATGTGAAATTTCGAGTGTTTTTTGTTTATTTGTTTGAAGTTTGATCACGCATTAACTACTGTTTGGATTAAACTGAAATTTGGCATGATGGTAGCTCACATTCCCAATTATATAGACATATTCTTATCTCAAAATGCCTTTCGGGCTCCGCCCCAGTGGCCCTGGAGTTAGTACAACAGCTAGTATTATAAATGTGAAAGATTGTGCGTTTGTTTGTTTGAAGTTCAATCACGCATTAACTACTGGTCGGATTGAGCTGAAATTTGGTATGTTGCCGTTAACATATAAACATACTCTCATTTCAAAGATCCTTTCTGTCTCCGGCCCAGTGGCTGTGGAGACTCCCATGTCAACCTTATCAGTATTCATATTTAAAATTAATTAAAGAACTATGGGAAACCCATCTAATTCGACGGTTACTATTGAGGTTTCTGTAACTTCAGCTAACTGTGATGATAGAGTGAAAATCTTATTTAAATTAAGGGAGGATAAGCATAATAATGAATATGAGATTGCGTAACTACCTTCAAAAACGTGGTTGGGTTTATTTTGCCCAAAAGGGTTTTTTGGAGTCTTATAATAATTGTTTCTTGTTCATAAGTTTTGTTCATGTTAAAGCCACTTTTACTATATGGGAAAAGGAGTTAATATAATTGGTCTGTCATCTTACGGAAACAGTCTATATTACTAATAACTGGTTACATCTGCTTTAGGAAAATCATTCAGACCGTATTTGGATTGCATAAGTGAATCACCATCTTTGGCCATAAAAACAGAATTTCATCAGTATATTAAATCAGTTTATTTGTATTGATAAAAATATCGGATTCCCCAGAAGGCAGGAACATTCTTACTTCGATCCAAGCAATTTTGATTTATTCTCTTGCCACATCGACCAATGTATTTAATCATCCTGCACTTATTTGCCAATTGATTAACTTCTGGCGTAGTTTTGCCTTGGCTATATCGATCACATAAAGTTGTGCATGTATTTTGTGGATGGGATGGACCATAAATTGTAGTGAATTTGACCACCAATCTTGAACATTTGCTGAACCACATCACATCCATAACCTAGTCCGGCTTGGTTGGCAACAAATTATGCAAATGAGATGAGATGTGATTGCACTGTTGTATTTCCGAATGTTTTGTATGTAGTGAGGTTTAGATGCATTGTTCGACCTAGCCATATTATATAATATACATATTATATTATATGTATGCACATTATGTACATCAAAGTAAAAACCCTTTCCCCCTTTTTAATACCTGAACTGCCATTAATTCACCTACTGCACCAAACCATAGATTAAACCTACTCCGTGCTTGGTCTGGTCTATTCCAAAACTTGGAACACAGCTCAAATCCTCAATGTACTCATCTAAAAATGATTAATGAAAATAGACCAAAAAAGGCAAGTGCAAACCCCTACAATAAGCTAACCCGATAAGGAATAGTTATCTGTTCCTTTGAAATTGACAAATCCAACTGTTTTTATAATATAAATTTGTTTAAGTGCATTAAAGCATAGATTAAGTCATATATTTGCATAGCCTATTAAGTACATTCAATCGTAAATGTGTTTAGTGCGAAAAAGTAACTGTGCAGATGGTGAAGCAGATAGCATCTTACCGTTCGTAATATATTGGCCGACCAAGCCTGGAGGGCTGCCAACTAAAAACAAAGACAATAGAGCAATAAAACACTTCCTGTCAAACTATATACTACATTCTTGGTTGTAGGCTTCCAAGGTAAAAATTTGCTGTCGGATCTTGTTCTTCAGAATATGTGTTATTTGCCACCAGTGTCATTTGCCACCACTCTAGGATTTGTGTCATTTGCCACCACTTTATACCTGGCTAGGTGAGTCATCAGCCCCAACCCTAGTCCGTGGGTCATCACCCCTCTAGGCACCGGCCGATGGACCAAGGAATACCTATAATTCACACTATCACCCTCTCTTGCAACATTTTTATGGTAAAAATTCCAACACTCTCTCTAGGAGTAGGGAAATACATGAGGGAAACTCTCATTCCTATATGTGGTTTTGTAGTGTTACGACATAGTTAGTGCTGTTCTCACCAAGTTTTACAAAGTGTTAGTCTAATTTATTTATTTATTAATTCGCTAAAAACGTTCATAATTATTTGCAAATCTACATGAATTAAGCTTTCCAATGACCCACTAATTAATAAGTCGGTCCAGTAGAACTCTAGATTTAGTTGTACAAAGATTTTCAAAGTTGAATTATATATAAGTAGATGCATATTGCACAAGAATGACATCACAGTTAAATGAATCTTTAATACAAACTAATTACAAATGTAAACTAATAACGTACTAAATAAAACCACATTCAATCAACAAATTAATTTAGATGATAGATGGACTTGGTTAACATGCTTTTAGTTGGTTATTTTTAAGAAGTTATCAGGCGGAATTTTACACAACATAAAACCGACATAAGAACGATTCTTTCCAAAGAACTTCAAGATAACTTATGATAACAAAACACAGTTTTTAGGTCTGTTGTTTATCCCATAACTGTTACATGAACCTAACGTCTCAAAGGAATAATTTCAATATATTTTATGATCTTTTTAGAATGTAGATGTAATTTTAAAACATTTATAATTTATTCTTTGCACTTTTTCTCCAAACTTACTCGTTTAGGAGCTATATCATGCTGAATGTAACCAAAAGCTACTTTAATCTAAATTTTACACGCTGTAACTCCTTTACGTAGCTTTATAGAAAAAAATAAACTAAAAATTTTTTTTAAAACTACAGTCTAAAATCATCATAAAATACAAGGTGTCCGATAAGAAATTGTTAAGTTAAATAATGAAAATATCAGACTTTAAAGGATGAGAATTCATATTTTTGAATGTCATAAGATAGTAGTTGAAATTCCCCGTAGAATGTTTTCTCTAAATCGAATAGTTTCTGAGATTGCAAGTAGGTGGTACATTTAAGTTCTTCACCCTGTATATTCGCAGAATACTAAACACTGAAACTGCGTCTTTTCAAGTATTTTAATGGGATTTTATCTCATTGATGCGTTGTATACTGTGCCAAATGTTATTTTTGTATTATTTATCTAATCTTAGGCCATGTAAGGAATATTCAAATAGCTTAAAATACCTTAACATAGATAGGCCTATACTGTTTAACTTGCGATTATGTGATTTTGGACTAAAAATGTGAGTTTTCTTTTGCCGAACAAGATGGTAAAATTAATGTTCACAATTCACAGTTGTAACTGGAGTTATAAACATTTATTTAATATCCAAAACAAAATTATAAGTACATCTACATGGTTATGACTCATAGAAACGGCCATGGCGGGAATTCCAGGAACTGACCCTACTGGTGGCAAATGACACTGGTAGCAAACGACACTGGTGGCAAATAGTAGGACACCTGTTCTTCATAGGATGTCGTGAATTTGCGAAGACTGATTCAACTATCTATAACTAATATGAAAACCTTTATTTCTAGAAGCATTTTAAGACCAAGACATATAAAATAACTCAAATAAAAATGGAGTTACCTATAATTGATTGCAGATAAGTACTAAACTAAAACGATAATATTATTGACGATTCGTGATTCAGCAGTGTGCTTTAGGTAGTCTGATCTTAATAATCAATAGCTGAAATGAAAGCTGGCATTTCACTAAACGTTTTTAGACCAAAACATATAGGGTAATGTAATTAAAACTGCTGGAATACATCTTTAATTTAAGTAAAAATATAAAATATAAAATAAAATTTATATTTTTAAGTCGAGTAATACATTAGATAAATTTATGGTAATACTTTATGACAAATACGTGCTTGCATAGCTTTATTTTAAGACCAAAATTATGAAAATCGGTCTGGTGGAAGAGCCAACAAACGAACTCGAAAAAACAAATTTAACTCCCATTAGAAATGTACAGGGAGTCCGTTTGTGTATAACTCGAAATGTATACGTTAAAATGAATGTCGATGCTTGATGGCAAATCTGTGGTGCGCCCATACCTAAAGGTGTCATACTAAAGCATATACTGTATAGATTTGGTCATACTAAAGTTCAAGGCCAAAATTATGAAAATCGGTCGGGTAGAAGAGCTAATCCGACTCGGAAAAGAAAAACCAATAAATGTTATAGATGGCAATAATTGGTTTACCAATATGCTTAATCTAATCATACGAAACACGTGTTAATAATTAATTAAACAGATTATTGTTATATTGTTATTTAATTGATTTTTCTTTCATTGAATATTGTTGTTAACAATTTGCATTTGTGTTTAAAGTGTGTTCCTTATGTTAGTGATGCTAATTATCTGCAATCAATGATAGGAAATTCTATTTTTATTTAAGTTATTTTATAGGTCTTGGTCTTAAAATACTTCTAGAAATAAAGGTTTTCATTTTAGATATTGATAGTTTTAATCAGTTAGGTTTAAGATACTATATTGCTCAATCAGAAAACCCAAATAAGATTATATCTTGGATATGGAATTTAGTTTTAGATATATTTACTCAATTCTAATAACGTTATCCTATTTGCCGTTCCACAAAAGATTATCTAAAAGCAGGTTCTTTTGACGTAAGAACCTTCAGTGAAATACCAGCTTTCATTTAAATAATTGATTATTAAGATCGGTCGTACCTAAAGCACACTGCTAAATCACGAACAACCCAAATCGTAAAAAGAATTGAGTTATTTATCATCGATTTATAGTCAACGATTTTGGTTGCAGCCTCAACAGTTATTGTCGACTTTGACAAGTTTCACCTAGTAAATCTTAAAAAAATCAAATTTTCATTATTATTTGCAAATCTACATAAATTAGGCTTTCCAATGATTTATTATTTATTAAAATCGGTTCAGTAGAACTGTAGATATAATTGTACAAAGTTTAACGACAACATCTTCAATTCACTATTTTCTCACCACTATAAGGAGGTTGCTGAACGTTTTTGCAAATAACTTTGAAATGGTGAGGAAATCAACCAAAGTGAAAGGTTATATTCTGATAGAGAATGAAATTTCCTACAAATTTCAAACAGAAACTTGAATAAAGCAGTTTTTAATGTATTTTTGTTGTTTTTACTTTTTTACCACAAATATTTAATAAAATCACACTTTCATAACTATTTGCAAACCTTAATAAATTAGGCTTTCCAATGGACCCATTAATTAAATTAAATAAATTAGGACCCATTAATTAACAAAATCGGTCTAGTAGAAGTCTAGATTTAGTTGTACAAAGAGTTTAACAAAAATATCTCTAACTCAGTATTTTCTCATTACTATAATTCTAGAGGTTGCTTAACTTTTTTGCAAATAACTTTTAAATGGCGAGGAAATCGTCCAAGGTGGAAGGTGATATTCTAAAAGAAAATTAAATTTACTACAAATTGATACAATGCACTTTTTGGAAATACCCAAAAAAGGCAATCAAAAATCGCACACAAATTAAAAGTATGAAAAAAAACTGGTTTCAATGTATTTCTTATGCAAGACATGTTTATTTTATTTTGTTTTTCACCATAAATCATGACAAAAACAATAATTATTTGCAAATCTACACGAATTAAGCTTTCCAACGAGCCATTAGTTAATAAAATCGGTCCAGTAGAACTCTAGATTTAGTTGTACAAAGATTTTTAAAACTGAATTATATATAGAATAGATTAAACATTTTTTAGCCATAAAAATTACTTTACCACACTACACTATTTTGACGAACTTCCCACGCAAGTATTTTGTCCAGAAAACCGCTGTTTGCCGACAGATTAATCAAATGGGGTTTCATTAGGTACTACTGTACTGTAATGAGTTTTACCGGACACCAATCAGCTGATTATACTGTATTTGGGTGGCAATGAGTAGTTATAAACAAAAACATAACCTCTCTTAGAGGTTATGACTAGTGATTTTTAGTCCTTTAGTTGGTGGTCATATATAAGGATTTGTACGGATTTAGTAGTATGGCGTAAACTATCGTACGTCAATCGTCCAAAATGTGTTTCAGGACTCGTATTGTAATCCCGCGCGAGACGACCATACACTCGTCCGGCAAACACTTATTTTCGGGACTAGTAACGTAATATACTATTACTGATGTTTTTACTTACGTGCGTTTTAACGCAAATTACCATTTCGACATAGTACTTTAATTTCAACTAACGTAATTTGTTATTAGGAGATCTTCAGCGAAAAATATTGTTGACTTACCATTTTGATATTTTTTAGGTGGACCCCCGAAGACCCAGTCAAAAATTCCAGCTTCAGCAGATGGGAGCGTTAGACATCCCAATACCTGTAAATAAAGCTGTTGATATGATCATCAATCATTTCTCCGCACTAAACATCTACCTATGTGACACAAACACCTATGTTATATATGGTGTGAGGTCCCTCACTACCGGTACAAAATGTGGCCCAACAAGATTACAGCGGGACCAAGAGCCCAGCGGATAACGAGTCCAGCGGATAAATGGTCCAGCGGACCAAGAGTACAGCGGAGAACCAGAGTACAGCGGAACCAGAGTACAGCGGAACCAGAGCACAGCGGACCAAGAGTACAGCGGACCAAGAGTACAGCGGACCAAGCGTACAGCGGAACCAGAGTACAGCGGAACCAGAGTACAGCGGACCAAGCGTACAGCGGAACCAGAGTACAGCGGGCCAAGAGTACAGCGGACCAAGCGTACAGCGGAACCAGAGCACAGCGGACCAAGAGTACAGCGGACCAAGCGTACAGCGGAACCAGAGTACAGCGGAACCAGAGTACAGCGGACCAAGCGTACAACGGAACCAGAGTACAGCGGGCCACGAGTAGAGCGGAGCCTATATAAGGAGGCGCAGAGGAGCCCACAAAGTGAGTCGATCACGGTCATCGGAACGAGAAGTAATTGCAATAGTCCAGCTAGATCATCAAGTGTAAGGAAGCTGGTTAGGCAGTCCACAAGTATACAGGGTGTTTCACGGGAGCCCTGACAAACATATGTTTAGAACATATGCTTATAGGACATTTTTTCAGTTTCGACCCCAGGAACCATTTCCCGAAGTTTGTCAGGGTTCCCGTGAAACACCCTGTATAATAGGTATTTTCTATAATGTGCATCTGTACTATTTTTAGACGCCCAGTATTCACTGTATCTACTTGATGGTGAAGGTTCCAATCAATTAGTTGACTGGGTAAGGTTGTAAATTGAAATATTCAGTAGTCAACAGCTGACACAAGACTTCAAATTCCTTGCTGAAGACTAGATTTAAATTTCCCTTAAACTTGAATTAAAACACTATTTTTTTATGACGGTTAGTTTGCTTTTAAATCTGAACGGAAGAAGGTAAACTAGAAAGGTCATATATATTATTGAAGGCTAGATTTTCCACAACCCTATGCTCAGTTATTTATGCATTATAAGATAACCTGTTTTTTTTTCTTCAAAAAACAGGTTATCATATATTGCATTTAACTAGATATAAAATAAATTATAACTACAAAAAGAAATTAATTTTACTGTAGGTCTACGTATATAAGATATAGCTAATGCTTACAACTGCAACCAGAAGAATGAAAGTCCTCATTATATTACTTAGTAAGCACAGTCATGCAGTTTGAAATGGTAGAGATGAGAAAGAGTCTTAAATATGAAAGATCCATGTTTACATTGCTTGCTTAGCAAACAGTTGGATGAAAGTCTAACATATCAATGTCAATCCGTCCAATGTAACACCTGGTTAATTTCTGTCTCGTCAGAGGGGGCTGTTTACCATGTACCTATGAATGGAACTAGACATTTTATTCTTATGTCATAACTTCCACCAGTTTTAGACAATAAATAGACATAGTTTGATTGAGCCTCTGACAGGGGGAGCTGATATCAATCATACATTTTGTTGCATACGAAAACTTTTTCACCAATGCAATTTTAAAGAACAACTAACTTACTATAATCTATGAGTGGCTCATTGAACTACGTGCAGATTTAATGGAAATTTGGTCCATATTGATGGGATATCTATTTAAGTTTCCAAAAGTTAGATTGGAATGTATGTTGTTTTTTAAGAAAATTGCGGTATCTATCATGAAATCTAACAAAGTTTCATAATTGCCGAAGCAGTTTATAACAACATATGATTTGTAGTGTAAAATATTCTTCATATTTTTTATAGAATTTTAAGAATTAATTATGTTATGACTCACCTTCACATCCTGGAGAGCTAGGTTCTGTGACATTCTTCTTTCACTTAATTACTAAAGAACAAGTCCTAGGTATGTTTTAGTTTAAATTTATGTTTGTGGGTCGTTAGTTCAATCGGTAAGTAGTGAAAACATCATAGTTCAATTTAAGCATAACGCATTGAACACTCTATAAGCTCTGGTAGGGTTATATGTTTAGTTTTTACTTGGAGATAGATAAAAAGAAGTTAAATATTGTTTGGTATCATTTATTTAATTACCTTTACCCGTTTAAGGTTTTAAGGAGTCGATTTGAATGAGAGTTATACTGTGGCGTAATTATTACAGCTCATCAAATTCACTGAATTTCTGGAGATAGGCATGGCACCCAGGCCTAATCAAAAGCTTTTAGTGTATAACCATTGACTATTGGATACTGAATCTATATGGACCAGCTGTAGCAAATGTTTTGTTAAAAAAGAATGTAGTTGTGTGAGCCAGTCACAGAATGCGCTAGTGACTAAAACTCTATTTTGTACCTTATTTTTTGTTGATGGCCAGTCGCTATAGCTCACAATAAGTCATTTCATTAGTTTGAATTGGTAAAAAAGATTGTGTATTCAATATAAATCGGTAATTTATATTAGCACAATCTGTCGAAGGCTCATATCAACTACGACGATTTTGGTTAAAAAAACTGGCTACAAATTTAACATGGGGATGGAATGTCTAATAACTTAATACATTGCTCAGATTCATAAATTTTTAGGTTATTTTTACGTTTTATACATTAAAGAAGACGAAACAAGTCTCATCTAAATTTCTGTCTGTCTGTCTGTCTGACTTTCTGTCTGTCTGTAACACTCAAGATGGCATTTTACGCAATCTTCTCCAGGAAAACCAGAGTACCTATCAAGATCCAAGTCATTTTCATTTTAATTTATTCACTGGATTGGCGAGAGTGTCTTTAGCCATCAAAATATGGCCTCACTAATTTGTAAATAACATTACGGACGTTCAAAAATGCAGTTTTGTGCGATTTTTGTCAAGTTTTCGTCCAATTTTGATCACATTATCATCTATGAAATAACGAACAGCTGTTCGGATCAAGATAATTTTTTCTAGCTGTCTCTGATATGTTTACAAATGTTGTTTACAAATACCACAACCATTTCCGATCACGTTTTGAAGGCAAATCCCATCCAAGTGAGATTAAAAACGTGTTTCTTACATAAAGGATTTAATTAATCGCAAGTGGAATATAGTGTAACCGTAAATTAAATAACTATCCTATAACTATTAAATAACCTCCAGGGGCCCATTTCATAATAAACTACAAGTTACAAGTTACAACTTGTAACTTGTAATTTCCATTAGATTTGCATTGGGCGATCAGCTGATTCACTAATAATATTAGTTTGTACTTTATTATGAAATGGGCCCCTGGTCAGAAACCAGAGATTCTTTTTGCATAGAATTGTTCTTAAGATTTGATAGCTAGAAAGAAGACCTTGAATCAGTGTTGTATACGGCTGGGAAACTTCACAACACTTCAAAATGAGGTGTCACTTGATAGGGGTTTACATTGAAAAGTTTTTAGTTGCCCCCCCCCCCCCATCCCCACTTTTGGGGGGACACTCAAAATTTTTAAATGTAAACCCCCATTTAGTGACACCTCATTTTGAAGAGTTTACAAAAACTTAAAGAATGGTGAAAACCAGAGTTCACTATCTCTTCTCTATCCAAAATGGTAGCCAATATTACCATTACGAACCATATTAACCACTGATTTTCCACAACATTTGACGGGCTACCATTTTGGATGGAGAAGAGATAGCGAGCTCTAGTTTTCACCATTCTTTAAGTTTTTGTAAACACTTTATAAAATGAGGTGTCACTTGAATGGGGTTTAAATTTAAAATATTTGAGTTACCCCCAAAATCCCCCCTTTTGGGGGGCCACTCAAAAATTTCAAAATCATAAAATGAAACTTCCTGCTAAGATTGCACGACCCTTAAAAGGATATCTTTGTATATTAACTTGGGAAAATATTAGATGGGGGGGTCTTGACTTTTTATTCACCCTGTATATAATTCAGTTATAAAATCTTTGTACAACTAAATCTAAGTTTTAATGGGCTGATTTTATTAATTAGTGGGTTGTTGGAAAGCTTAATTAGTATAGATTTGCAAATAGTTATGAAAGTTTGTTTTTGTTATGACTTATGGTGAAAAATAAAAAAACACGTTTTCCATAAGAAATACATTGAAAACGGTGTTTTTTACACTTTTATTTGGTTGCGACTTTTGGCTGCCATGATATCAATTTGTAGGAAATTTTATTTTCTTTCAGAATATTACCTTTTACTTTGGTCGATTTCCTCACCATTTAAAAGTTATTTGCAAAAAAAGATAAGCAAACTCCGAATTTATAGTAATGAGAAAATACTGAGTTAGGGATATTTTTTTAAACGTTGTACAGCTAAATCTAAACTTCACTGGACCGATTTTGGTAATTAATTGGTCATTGGAAATCCTAATTCATGTAGATTTGCAAATTATTATGAAAGTGTGATTTTATTAAATATTTGTGGTTATTATAGCATGAAATAGTACAAATAATTGAATAATAGATAATTTATTAATTGATAAAATAACAGGAACGATCTTGAAATTAGTCGAACCCAATCTCTGATAATGTTCATAATCTATTGTTGGTGATCATCTCCTCATGCCTTCTAAATTAAATCTTAACAAATAACAAATCTTCTGGTTATATATATGAAACATAAATTAACTTTACAACAACTCCTTCCAACGTAAAATAAAATTATTTAAAAAAAATATTGAAACAAAGGGAGGAATTTGTTTATAGATCTAATTTCGCTGGCATTCTGCAGGTTCTTTGAGAGCGTCAAATGACAGCATCTGATAGTGTGTTATTGTTTGTAGTAAGAGGGATATTGGTTGATGAACATTTAGGAGATATTGGTCTGGTATGTGATGATGGAGATTTTGCTGCATCGTCATGTTGTAACGTTATCTCTTTAGGACGTGAATAGATTTCTCTTGAATATTGTACAGTGATATCGGCGCATGGGCTTTAATTTTATCAGCCTATCAGTATGAGATTCGGTATAAGAAAGGTAGTGACATAAGTAAAGCTGATGCACTATCCATCAGGTTACCTTGTGCCAATGAAAATGATGTGGGTGAAGTGTAGCATTCTTTTCGTCTTATCACGAGTTACCGATCGATCACTTCAAAGGAAATCGCCCTCGCCACCAAATTTTATCCAATCCTATCAAAGGCTCTTGATTTCACCGGTAATGGATGGCCTAGTTTTTCGGATGATACAGATATCAAATCATTCTTAAACAAAAGCATACAATTATCAGTGGACCGTGGGTGTCTCGTATGGGGAAATCGTGTAGTGATACCTTCTACTCATCAAAAAGAAATACTAATGCTGCTACATACAGAACATCCTGGCCAATCAAAAATGAAGACATAGGCACGCAGTTTTGTTTGGTGGCCAGGAATGGACAGAGATATAGAAAACATGGTGAAGGAATGCTCGATATGTCAAAAGACACGTAAATCTGCTCCACTTGTACCCCTACAACCATGGACATGGCCACATCATTGCTGGCAAAGAATTCATCTCGATTTTGCCGAGTTTCAAGGAAAAGACTTTCTGTTGGTTGTAGATAGTTATTCTAAATGGATTGAGGTGTTCTACATGACTGGTACTACTGCTAATCACACTATCGAGAAGCTGAGACATTGCTTTGCAACTTTCGGGCTTCAAAACACTGTTGTTACCGATGGAGGACCACAATTTAGATCTGAAGAATTTGATAGTTTATTGAAAACTATTGGAGTTCACCGCATATTTACTCCTCCGTATCATCCTGCATTCAACGGTCTTGCTGAACGAGCAGTTCAGACAGTCAAGGATGCGTTCCGCAAGCAAATGCTTCATGACGCCAAGCATAACTGTTCCCGAAGTATACAACATCGTATAGATTCGTTCCTCTTCGTTTATCAAAACACCCCACATTCTATCACTGGCATGACACCTTCAGAAGCTATTTTTAAATACAAACCTAAGACCCACCTGAACCTACTAAAACCCCATCTGGCATCAGAAATGGAAGTGAAGCAAGATAGTATCACTAAATTGGCTAACACAAATCGAGGGAAGCCTAGAAACTTCAATTTGGGAGAACAGGTATTAGTGCGTTCAGTACGCAAGGAGATTATATGATGGCATCCTGGGGTTGTTACTAAGATCATAAGTCCTGTCACATATTTGGTGAAAGTAGAAGGCCGGACAAGGTTTGCGCATGCTGACCACCTTAGAACAAGTCACTTGAGAAGCGAGGAAGAAGAGGACGATATCACAGTACAATTTCCAAGAGAAATCTATTTAGTCCTAAAGAGAACCAAGTGCTTTTCGTTGGAACGCCATGATGACACACTTGACTAATTAGGTATTGAACTCCGCGACTCCGCGTAAGTAGACTAACTTCAAACACGAAAAACAAAATTAAACAACTAATACTTGTCTTTAAAGATTTAAATAACTCAAAACACACACATGAGAACTTTTTAGGCTCGTCGCCATTATTATAGCATGAAATAGTACAAATAATTGAATAATAGATAATTTATTAATTTATAAAATAACAGGAACGATCTTAAAATTACTCGAACCCAAACTCTGATAATGTTCATCATCTATTGTTGGTGAGCATCTTCTCATGCCTTCTAAATTAAATCATAACAAATAACAAATCTTCTGGTTATATATATGAAACATAAATTAACTTTACAACAGTGGTAAAAAAGTAAAATAACAAAAATACATTATTTTTTCTATTTTTAAGTTCATATTTCTAGCCAGCTTTAGGCTGCCTTTATTAAGTATTTTCAAGAAATGCATAGTAATTATTGGTAGTAAATTTTATTCTCTTTTAGAGGATAAAATCAAACACTATTAAGTCTGACTAAAGATTTAACATTAATAATTGTCAAGTATACTTTTATAACCATCTGACTAACCAATTTAAGACTAGGCCAGTTTAAAAAAAAAAATAAGAATTTTAAGAAGCATTTCATGTAACAATTGAGGAAACAGCGTTTTTAGGGCATTTCAACCCTGCTGAGTACGAATCTGCCTGTTGCCAAAGCGAAATTTGAGTTGCCATATCTCCCTCGTTAGTTGGCCTAAAATAATGGTTTATAGGGGGTTTTCAGATGACAAAGACACATTACAACACTCAAAATTTACTTAAATTAGGTTTTAATGGCATATCTTCCAAAATTGCCACCAAAAACTCGAATTTCCGCATATCTCACTTTGCTTGTTAGCTTAAAATAATTATTTAAACATCTGCATAGGATTTTTCTCGGATTCCAAACATATCGCATCACCTAAAGTTTACTTACATTAAGTTTTGGGGGCATGAATTCCAAGATGGAACCCAAGATGACGTCGGAACCAGTTGCAGAACGCAAGACGTTGCCCGATATCATTATTGTCTATTTCCCGGACCAAAATCATTTTGTAGGGATGGAACTTATTGTCTTTAAGGATGTTACAGATCGTTGCACGACTAACTCCAGATTCTCGTTCGTGCCGTCTAATGGAATCATGGGGCTGAATAAGCACGGATGCTATAATATCTGCAGACTTCTCATCCCTAACCCGTCGATGAATTTTCTTACCCTTGTTGTGGTGAGGTTGAACAATTCCTTCTGTCTGGATTCGTCTTGAGTCTTGCAAATACATGCCGGGAATGAGGGAACCGATCAGGAAAACGTTGTCGCCAGAGAGTAGCAGCCCAAGCAGCGCCTTTAAATGACCCAGCTTCAAACAGAACTTGCTACATTACAAGAAAATGGCAGCGCAAAATTACTTTAAATAACCATTGTCTCAATCATTTTTAGCTGCCATTTTGTTATTAATGGTCCGATTTCTATTTTCTTTATGTTAATTGTTATGTTTCATCAAGACCTACAAAATGATACCAAACTCGACTATACTTGCTATTTGAACATTTTGAGCTACCCTCTACCCCCGCTACCCCTAAGGGCAAAATTTTCAAAACTGACCGTGATTATTGTAGCCCTTCATTTCCAAACAAGTTGCCGCAAACCGATTTCAAATATCTCAAATAGTTAAAAAGTTAAGGAGGGTGCAAGTTAATTTTTTTACCACCCTTATGGTTATGTGGATTTGAAACGTTTTAGGGCGCCATTTTGTTATTAGTGAGCCGATTTTGGTTTTCTTTATGTCAATGTTTATGTTTCATCAAGACCTGTAAAATGATACCAAACTTGACTATACTTGTCATTTGAACATTTTGAGCAACCCCCTACCCCCCCTACCCCTAACGGCAAAATTTTCAAAATTGACCATGAATATAGTGGCCCCTCATATCTAAGAAGGTTGCCACAAACCGACTTCAAATATCTCAAATGGTTGAAAAGTTAAGGGGGGGTGCCAGTTACTTTTCAGCCACCCTGTATATTTTATTTGAGTTTCTATCAAATACAACTTTAAATATATAAAATATTTATAAAATACATAGGTATTTGTGCTACTAGGGAAAAATAAGTAAATCCATATCAATATCGATCGACCATGATGATATAGAAAACTAAACAGACTAAAAATAAAAACTAAATAGCAAATCAAAACTAAATAAACCACTTGGACACTGCGCTAAAATCAAAAACAACAATCGACCTTGAGGGTTGAACCACGACTGAGGAGTGGGGGCAGTCGCAGTTCCGGCTGTTTCGCCGGTATGTGTGTTTATCTTCATAAGGCACAATGCCCCGCTACCCACAATGCCCGGCAAAACCGCCGATCCGGCGAAGAGCATTTTCCCGCCGGACCGGTGGTTTCGCCGAACCGGAGAAGTGTGGCCTTCCCCATGCCTTCCTGTGTATCTCAACTTGCTCCGTCGGTTTCACCTTCGCCGTAAGTGTGTCCCTGGCCTAGTGAGGTTACTGTAATATTTAACAACTACTTATTGCAGGCACTGCATACATTCATGGTGTCAAAATTGCAGGATTACTCTTGATATTTACAATGCCAGGAAAAACTGACAATGGCATAAAATACGTACTGTACATCATTCTGGAGTTACTGAGTTCATTCCCAATGATTTGGGAAAGCATATTTGTTGCAAATTCCCTGTTCAGAAGGAGTTATATCCACGGTTTTTTATTGGAGTTATTTATTACACCTCTTACCAAAACGTCCCTTGCTTTATAGTAACGTCCCTTTATAGTATTTCATATTAAACATACTTCATAGCTAAAACACCATAATACTCGTTTTCTTTGTGTTAAAAATATGTTTTAAAATGGTCTTATGATCACTGATACATATTCATTACTGTGCTTATCAAGTATCAACTATAATTGACAATTTAACAGATACAATATGGATTACAAAAGATTTGGATAAATTAAATCGACCAAAGACTGCTCTCAGATATACTAATAATTTTACCCGAGCGAAAGTCGGTCCCCCTGGTACTATTATATTAAGAGGGGAACTCATTAACCTCTCTTAATCGATTTCATTGTAACTCTAAAAATTATGACAAGAATAGGTTACTAAAAGAAATTCATTAATTATTCCAAGCTCGTAATTGAAATCGGTAAAACATTACTGTGAATTTAATAAACATTAACTTTCTCCAAGGTATTTTATTGCTTACCCAATAAAGCAAAAATATGAAAAACTAGTAGAGAACCAAGCAATTAATAGACAAATGCCTGAAGAGTTTCTAAATTCATTTTGCTCATAGCTCTTTGTGAGGTGATGATAGAGATTGAAAGTGTGAGTTCATTTATTTATTTTCTTTTCCCCTAAAAGCCGCGTTTACTCGGGCCAGTAGAGCAGGCAGGTCCCACCAGCTGGCCTCATGTAAACACGGCTTATAGACTCAGTTGAAAGAAATAAGAATTTTTTTGTTGTTTCAATATTTTAGACAGTGAATTTTAAAGCAGAAAGCTGTTTATTTAACATCGCTTTCTTTGAAACTTACTATCCTTTGTCGTTATTATTAAGTTTACATGTATTTTTATAATTAGTTTATTTTATGCATTAGCAAGTAAGTTGTCTGTTTCACTGGAAGTGTATGTTTATATTTTATACTGCTCAATTTTTTGGAAATAAAGTAGATTTTGATTTTTATTTTTTCTCTCACTACATCTTTATACCTTTGTTTGAAACATCAAAGTATTTCTAATGATGTCCTATTTCCTATCATAGTCAAATAATGGCAAGTAATTTAGCAGAATATTGTCTTTAAAAACAATTACACACAGTTATTAGGGAATAAATCAAAATATATATTGATTGATATTTACAACTTTGAACGCTTGAATGTTTGATATTATTCATCCACTATAGTCTAATAGGCTATAGGTCATTTAGGCTAAATCCAATGAACAAAGCAGTGTAGTGTATGTAAACAGTTTAAATATAATAATGATACCTTTATACATCTAGTTTAATCCTACTGTATTGTAAAATATTGGCAGGGACTGGAAAGTAGATAGACATTTTTTAAAGTATTTATTTTCATTGTTCAACACAAGCATTATAGGATAGAATTTCATGTTATTTAACTATTCAAATATACACATCATAAATTAGAAAACTCAGAAATTAAAGAATTTCCTTACACTATAAATGGTTTGCCATGAGCTGAAATGAAAAATATGGTATGATTTGGAAAATAACAATTTTAAAAAGATAATTTTTAAACATTAAAAAAATTGCAGTTTTATAGGAGACAAATAATTTGTTTTCATAAGGTAAAACAGCTTATCACACTAGATATATAGGCAATATAAAAACATGCATGTCATTTTTTTGTAAATTTTTAAGGCTTTAACAAATAAGAATGATTTATTTAAAAAGTTTTAAAATCCAAACTATACAATCTGCTTATTAAACAAAACCACCCCCTCCATTGTAGACCTTTTACAATTTTGTTACATTGATATAACGTCAAAATATTTTTCCCCAAAAATTCATATTTACAAAAATGAAATATACTAAGAACACGGGAAACCTACATGTTGTGTTTCTACATGAAAAGAATAGTAAGAATGGAATAACCAATTGATCACTTTATACTCACACTTTATTAGTATATACCATTTTAATACTAAAATTTACACCTCTTTAGAAAAGGTCCCTCCTTTTCAAAGACGTATAATAGTATGTCTTTACTCAAAACTGTTAACTTTTAAGGATTTTGATGGTTTACTTATGTTTTGACTTCTTCCTTTTCTTCGACTTGCTGCTCTTTTTCTTATGCTTATGTTTCTTCTTCTTCTTCCCTGAATCACTGTCACTGGAGCTAGATTCGCTGCTCTCTGATTCACTGCTTGATTCTTTCCTCTTCCTTGATTTCTTTTTCTTTCTTTTCTTACTCTTCTTTTTCTTTCTCTTTTTCCTCTCAATTGATGAATCAGAACTAGAGTCAGAACTGGAGTTTGAATCCGAACTTTCATCAGTCTCTGGTTCTATCTTCTTGACTTTTTCAAGGTCTTTAACTTTGGACATTAAATCAGTAGTTCGCTCGATCTCACTCTCTGATTTCAATTTTTTCTTCTCTTTTTCATTACTTGGAGATCTTGATCGTTTCTTTGGAGGTGACGAATGAGAGAGTGTCACTAACAGGCTTTTCTCTTCGCCGGGAACTTCTGGTTCTGATTCAGGTTCAGATGCATCATAATCCGGTTCAAAATTTGCCTCATCCAAAGCTGACTTTCTCCTATCGCTGGACAATCTGGGATTCTTCCTCCCTTTCTTTTCTGAGAGATCTTTTGTCTGGTCCACCTTTACGGTAACTAGCCTTTCAACAGGCTTCTCTTCTCGCTTTCTAATAATAATTTTTTCAGTCTTCATTTCTTTTTTAAGCTTTTTTTCACGACTGGAACTTCTTGAACGTTTTTCTCTTCTCCTCTCTTTATCTTTATCAGAAATTTTTTCTACTTTTCTTTCTACGCTTTTGTTAATTTCAATTGCTTTCCTTCGGGTTTCATCTCTTTCTCTTTCTCTTGACCAACTGGTGTTCACAACAACTCTTCTAGCACCAGGACTTATTTCTCTAAGCTTTTCTCTATCGCTAAATTTTCTGTCTAAATATCTCTTAGGTGTTCTAGATCTGGACTTCCGTTCTACAGTGCTGCGAACCCTACGGATCTCCTCCCTGTCATTTTCTATTTTGGCTCCAAGCCTTTCTTTGGCAGATTTTCTAACAGGAGAGTTTGGTATAACTGGAACAGATGCTACCTTTGGTTTCTCTGAGTGTGACCTAGACTTTAAGGGGTCTGATGAATCAATTGAAATAGCAGTAGAAGCTATTTCAACTGATCTCTCTGGAGCTTTAGACTGATGACTCGGAATTGTGATTTGAATTGAATTCGCCACTTTTCTCGCTTCCCTTGAGTCATTTGTAGTAGTTTCAGGGGAAACATTCACTATTTCCTGAGCAGGCTGGTCTTTTGGTGGCGCATCTTTGCTGTCTTTTCTTTCCTTTACCTTTTCAGGGATTTTTTCAGATGATGTCCCTTTTTTGATGTCAATTGGCCTAATGGCATTAATTGCTTTTTGAAAGATTGCATTTTCAGCCCTTTTCAAAACCTCTGATGTAACAACCTTCTTTTCTGTGGAATTGTAACCATCTTCTCTACTCATCTTATCATCCTGACTCAGAAGGTCTTCATCAAGTTCCCATTTAGACAACTCTGGAACGGGAGCTAAAACAACATTTTCTTTAACTTCAGAAGCTTGTTTTGTACTCTCAACATTACCATCACCTTCATTACCTTTCTGCTCAACTTTACCATAGTTTTGCACAACCTCTTTATCAACAGATGTCCCTTCTATATCACCATACAAGGGATCTATCGGGTTTGTATCTACTTTCGCTGCAACGACTATAGGTTTTCCTTCAATGGTTTTTACTGGCTCTAACTTAGTCTTTTCAACAATATCTTTCTTTTCCTTGCGTTTCTTTTTCTTCTCCTTTTTCTCTCCTTCTTTTTTCTTCTTTTTGTCTTTTTCCTTTTTCTTTTCTTTGTCCTTCTCTTTTATTGGAGTTGCAAACTCTTCTTTCTCTTTTTCCTTTCGTTTCTCCCGCTCATCACTCGGTTCTTTCTTTAGATCTACCAGTACTGGAACTCTAGTGCTGAGTGTTGTGGCATGCGGTGGCTCGGAGTTCTTAAACTGCTCCATGTTTTGATCTCTGAGATTAATCGCTTCTATAGCTTCACCTTCACCTCTCTTATTTTCTTTGCCACGTTCATGGGATCTTCTCTTCCTGGGGCTAGATGATTTAGTGTTACGATATCCACGATGATATTCTTCATACTCTCTCATCCTCTCTTTTTCTCTAGTCTCCAGCTCTCTATCCCTCGTCCGTTCCCAATCCCTGGCAGCTGCTTCCCTTTCTCTCTCCCTGTCACGATCTCGCTTGTCTGAGACGACAGTGACACGCCGTTCTGAGTACTCAGCTGGGTATTGATCGTAGTTGCCACTCGTCTCTGTGCCAGGCGGCACTGTTTCATTGTAGTTATCATATCGACTAGACCTACTGCTATACCGACTTGTTTCTGGTCTGGAAGATCCTTGCTGATAGCCGCGACCTCGATCATCATATCTAGTTTCATACCTGAAAAAATATAAATATAGTTCAAATGTTTTGGCAAAAATATGATACACCTTCATAGACATGGAAGAAACACAACAATTACAATTGAATACAGAGATTATTTGTTATAATTATTTGTTTTGAACTTGATTTACAATAATTCATTCCTGATGACTTATCATCAGAAGTCACTGAGTTTCCATTATAAAATAAAAGTTATGAAGTTATTAGAAAATAAGTTTTAAAAAAATTTAACCATTGTGACTTAATTCATCATGAGTTGAAGAGTCTGGTTTTAGATTCCTCAACTTATTTGGCTGCAAAAATTACTGAATCTTTTCATATCAGTAATGTTATAAAATAGTAGGCCCTACTGTATTCAGTACTCAAACAAGTAGGTGAGTGATATGCTGTATGCACTTGAGAGAAATGTTTACGCACAAGCCCTGCAAACTGTGGGCGACTGTGGAAAGTTTCTCGAGTGCAGCAAAGGCAGTTTGTACTCTTGTTACACATTATATTTTTCCTACAGTTACTATAAATCATATAAATAATTCATTTTTCAAACACTGTACAACACGTTTTCAGGTTAGGCTAATTCTTAACATTGAACAAAATTGGAAAAGCTGCACCAGCTGATCATAGTCGTAACATCTTTTAGAGTTTCCAACTTATTTTCAAGCGTACACGGATTACGTGCATAATAAAAGCATGCTGTTTTGTGTTGTTTGGTTGGATTACTATTTTTGGTCCTAGGACGCTAGGCACGAGCCCATTACATTACTTCAGGCTAGACGTAGGGGTTCCGGCATTATCACTTAGATAAAATCCATTGGTAAATTGTAAGAATTTTGAACCCGGGACCTTTGGCACCGAAGTCCTGCGCTCTCTACACTAGACCAGTTTGCTATTGGTTGGAATACTGGTGTGCACCAAAGTAAAAAAAGTGCGCCAAAGTAAGTCTTTCTGTACTATAATCTGTGCAAAGAAGCCCACTTTGTCGGGTGACTGTAGAAAAAAATATTTTTAAACCTAGTATCATACCTATATTTAAAGTTTTCATTACATCATTTTTTTAAATTTCCCTCTACTATCAAGTGTATTAAAATTATTAAGCTCAAAACAGTCATTATTTCTGATTCATTAAAAAATTGGCTTACATAATGTTGTCTATGGCACAAATGTCATCATTCTTTTTTTCTGAATCATAAAAATCTAATCAATGTTTGTTGCAAAGCCCCAGAACAGAATTTCATATTAAGAATTGAATAGAAATATGCATAATATAACATTAAACAAGTTTTTAAGTCAATTGTGTTTCTTAAACATATCATTTAATAACATGTCAAATTCAGTCTACTAATTACTTTCAATGCTGTTGTTTCAAATGAAATTTGATTCTACGTACACACCGAGAAATTCTGCATCATCGTGAACAGCTAAATTTTGGTCTCAACACTCTCTTGCCAATTGGGTTTTATCGTGATTCATTTTCAGACCGTTAATGTTGAACCACCGTTCCAGTTCCAATGGGGCTTGATAAACTTAGATCAATAATTCTGAATAGTTTTTAGATTTGACAAATGCAGTTGTATCACCGGCATATAAAATAAGGCTGTTGCGGACGATATTAGGCAAATCATTTATATACAAAATAAAGAGTACAGGTCAATGAGTCAAGCTACTGTACTAGTGTTGGCTGCTGACTTGTAGAAGAACCATTAGACGACGACTGCTCGGTTTGAAGAGTAGTAGTCCACTTCTTAATTGATTGTTCCAGGGCTCTCAGAAAGCCTCAATGTTAGAGTCCTTTTTTTCAGGGTTCTGGTAGAATTTTGAAAATATGAGATAACGATGATGGTGGCCTCAGTTGCAGGCTGAAATTTAATCAGGATTTTTTATGAAATGGTCTGGTTGTATTAGGACACAACCCATCGGTGCACGTACTAGAGTCTTAAGCCCACTCAATTTTAAATCTTCTGTCAGCTGTATAAATGCATTGTCATACTCCAGCTTTGATGGTTTCCCCCAACATACTGCCTTTGTCACCAGACTGAAGACTGTTGCTCCATTATCACATTGATGTCAGAAATATAGTGATTTAACTGAGGTCTTCATGGTTTATTTCTGAAGGTAACGGCAACACCAGCAGACATATGTTTAGGATCTGCAAAATCCGTGGAAATGGTGTGGGCAAAACCCACTGAACGGTTATCTCTCATCTTGTCGATGATGATTTTCATGTTTGTTTTAACAATATAAATTTTCTTGTTGTCAAAATTAAGGGTAGACTTCTCTTCTGCTGCTCTAACTATTTCTTTAAACTTTTTGGCCAGCTTGATATGCCCCTGTTGCTAAAGTGCAATTCGTGAGATGTAAATACGTGCCGGGGTAAAAAAATGAAGGGTCAGTGGGGAATCATTAATGTGCAAAGCCACAATGTCTTCCAAATCTTTATTAATTTTCCCAATTGCAAAGTTTAGTCCTAGTCTGTCATGTCTCCACGGTAAGGAAGCAATCATTAAATTGGTATGATTAGATATCATACGTTTTACTTTAATTGGAATTCCATGCCATTAGTGCCTCCGATGACCAAAAGATAGTCCCCCTTTCTTTTCTTTTCTTCAAAGCCACTGATCTGCATTCTCACACATTCAACCACATTACTGAACTAAATGTTTGGTTTAACAAAAGAGAAAACATTGAAATTAGTACATTGTTTAAGACTCTTCTTTACCCCTGCAAAAACAATAAAAACATGCCTTGGACGTCCCTCACTCAGGATGGAATGCGTAAAGATATAATGTTAAAACTTTCTTTCCCTTACAGATTAATGTTGGTTCTAAGGCCCTCATTCATGATATAACCCAGAAAATCAAAAGTATAAGTAAAAAAAATCCTTAAGTAACGCAAATTAAGTCACTTTTAATCACTGATAAAACTAATTATTTTTATCATTTTCAATTTTTTGAGATATAAGAGCTCTGATATAACTATTCAACTACATTGATACCAAATTCCAAGAAAATCTGTTGAAAACGGCGTCTGAAACGGGGGACAAAATTAACATGTTTTGTCGGATGCTACTGCGCTACTAGCCTTTTACAAAACTTGGCTCAGGCGGCAGATGAATCACCGACGTGTCGATTTAGTAGTCGTGTATTTGCGATGTTTTCAGAATGGCGCGCATAATGATCCCGCATTACCCTCCCGTCCTTAACACCTCCCCCCCAAAGCCATATCCCCAAAACGCAACTACACCGGGGGGGTGAAGACTCTTAATGAGGTGGCCTAAATTTTTCATACATGGCTGTCTACCAAAATAATGAGTTTTGACTTTATTCATTTTTGCTTTATTATCATTTTGACTGTTGTTTTGTAGTTGACAATTTCATTTATCTTCTGGCCTATAAAAATAACTTATTTGATTGGTGGCATTATTTTCTTCATTACTTCACTACAGGAGTTTTTACATTCAAAACTAATCTTACAAAATTATAGTTATGAACCACAATAAGAGATCCACCAACAGTTTTTTAACGTCTAGCTGCACAAGGCTGTAGAGCAGGAAAACAGTCAACACAATCAGATTTTGTATTCTTTAACTGTTCATACTCATTATTTTCCAACGTGCTATTATCAGACTGCAATATCTCCATTGCTTTAAGTAGGTTTAGGTTTTCAGTTTTTACTATAGCCAACTCTTCAAATAAAATTTCATAAAAAATGTGTGGTAACAGAGGGGTATAGTGTTCGCCTTCAGATATGAAGGATGTTGATTCATTCCCAGCCAGATTGATTCTGGATCTAGATGACATTTGACATTGGGCTACTAATTAATTATGTTAATTAACAAAAGGTAAATTATGTACAAGATTGTTGGACTGTTCCCTTACAAAAACCTGAAAAGTTCCACTGGCATGGATAAACACAATAACAAAATAAAAGGTTTACTGGGACGGTTTGCATGTTGGTTAGAAGAAAATACACTCCAGCCGGTGTAATCACAGAGTGGGATATAATCTAGAGGTCGCAAGATTACAATTTCTGTTTGGCAAGTACCTGTTTGAAATTATCAATAGTTACTGCAGAGGAGCTAATTGTTATTGAGGCTAATTGTAAGAAACAACCATGTTTTCCAAAATTCACCTCAAATAAACAAGTATCCTCATTCTTGCCAAAATTATGCAAGTCTTTTTACTTAATTTACATAAGTAATTTAATTCATTGGGTTTGATTTACATTTTAGCATTGATCAAACCTTAGTTAAACATAATGCTTCTGTGACAACATGAAAAAGTCAAACACTGATCGATAAACAAGGGATGGTAGACATTTAGCTTTGATTTATTTAAAGCTCAGAGACCAAATCGTAGTTGGTTATAATTATTTAAATTGCTTTGTGAAAACCATGAAGCACCAATTGTAAGGAAGAACTTATGTGGTCTAATTATAATACTTCCAAAATCGGCATTAAAATATTTGATCTGTTTCACACAAAATCAGTTATTTGTTTTAGTATCCCAAGTACCTACCCAAAAGTATGGTGATTGATACAGCGATTGATATGAATGAAAACTGTACTGTGAGATAGGCAAGATATAATCTGAAAAATGGTGGATTTCAACCCCTGGAATTCAAAACATGAAAAAGATCTTTCAAAATCAGAGCAATGTACAGATAAAATGTCTAATCCTATATATTGTGTGTGGATTTAAAAATCCCCTTTTTAGCGAATTTTCCTAAAGGGAAGTAGCTATTACCGTAGGTCTCATGGTAAGACCTTGGCCCGGGACCGATTTACTTTTTCATTTTGATGTCCCCAGAGGCCAAAAACACCATTCGTTAAAATTTTTATATATGTATATATATATATATATATATATATGTCCGTCTGGACGATAAATTGGGTAATTTTTTGAAGTTTTGCAAAATATCAAAGAATTGATTTTATACACATTTAGCCAATTTTGGACTTTGATGGAACACTATTGACTTAATAACATGTATAGAACACTTGT